CTGGCAGTTCCTTTCTTTGGCGAATTTGCCGGCGACTGGCAGTTCCTTTCTTTGGCGAATTTGCCGGCGACGACGCAGATGCTATGCACGCCCCATTTGACATCGCAGAGGTACTTGATGCGGCTGTAGATGCTGCTGACAACAGGGAGGATGAAGAAAATAAGTTGGAGCGAAGGTTTAAATTGTAACACACTGGCAATATGCTCTTCGATCGATCGTTCAAAGTCGTCAGGGCATATGTGAATCAGGGGTTGGTCAACAGTCATGCCCAATTGTTTTAACTGTCTAATGAATGGATCCAATGCCTGGCTCGAAAGCGTTTCAGCATCTGGCCAAGGTAGACTAGTATCGCGTTTCTGAATCCAGAGACATGCCCAGTTCTTCAGGGGTTTTGCAACTGAGAATTGATTACGTTGCAAATTCCAGCTGCCAGAATTCGGATTCGTGGGTGGCCGAGCATCCCTCCCTACCGATTTATATCTGACCTGTGGGCCCTGCAAGACTCGTCCAGGCACTGTAATTAATCCCGGCTGCACTGCAAGTCCAAATCCAGCCTGATAGATATTATTATGTTAGTAAGGGTTGAGTGAATATCTCAGTATATAAGACAGAAAAAAAGAAAAAAAGAAAAAGAAAAAGAAAAAAGAAAAAGAAAAAGAAACTAGGAACACACTTACCAAAGTGGAGTTCGCAGGCTGAGAAGCGCCTAAGATCTGTGCTCCTTTTGTATTTATCGACTTCGCATTTAGCGCAGGGCGGCGGACCGCAAACTTGATCATCTGCTGGGTTTGGGTCGTGCTTAGAGTCATATTGGGAGCCTGCCCAGGCAATACAATGCACACGTCAGGGGGCAAATATATCGGACGCTCCCGGCTTCCGATATTGACGACGGGAAGATCGGGATTTTCCAGAGTAATTTTGCGAACTATAGAATCAAGAAATATCAGTTTCTGATTCCTGCTTTTTCTCGGAGGTTAGATTTACTCACTGTCCCTGAAAAATTCAAACACGCTCACGTAGGCGCCAGCTGTACTAGAAGTATTTGCGCCCAACATTTCATCATCAGCATTGGGCTCTTTGTAAAACGTCACATCCTTCGGTCCGGCACCAACTCTCTGCACTCTTGGTTTGTTTTTCATTCCGCGGCCATCATCAATAGTGGCCACGCCTAGAATAGTCTTTATGGGTAGGACTTCGCGCCCATCACTACCAACTTTTTTCATATGCGTTAACTGCACGCGGACCGATTTTAGGAACCTGTCCAGCTTTCCCATACTGTGTCCGTAACTCTGGAAGAAACTCATCATCACCCGAGGCAATGGACCTTCTGCAAACACCGCAACGTTGCTGATTTGAACGTTCAGAAGAATGCGTGCAGTGGCTGCACGGACGCTGCCAAAGAATCCCCGTAGCACCTCTAGTCCGCCGGTCAAGTCCCATTTTTCAACGTCAGGGGGGTTTATAAAGAAATGCTTGTTTGTACCGACATTGGCGATATGTTCTGAGTCTTTGGGGTAGTATCCCATAACGACGTTCAGTGCCTGGATGACCTCTTCCTTGCCGCCGAATACAGCATTTGCACTGGTAGAAGAAAGGTAGTCCACCAGTGCACTAACTTGCAGAGTACCAGTGCGAGTAACTTTGAGAGTGTACATTCTGGCATTTGGAGCGGGCTCTAGCTCATCCTCGGCTTGGTACGTGACTATATAAGGCAACTTTTGAAGAGGTTCGAGTTCCACGCTGCTGATGATGGTGGACTTAAAGTCACTGGCGATCTTGTCGCTGAGCTTATAAAACTCCTGATCCAGGAACAGGCGGATGATCTGTTTCGCTTTTCTGCCGATGGGGAGTCTTCCCTTTTCATCCGGATCTAGAATGATTTTATAGCGGTAGAGAGAAAGATCCTGCTTCACGGCCAACTCGAAATAGTTTGCGTATAGGGTGACTTTATTCCCTTGAGTTCCGAAGGTTGGACGCTGGGGCAGTTTGGGCTCCTTGGATGTCGAACTCAAGGCTAGAACGGCAGTGTTGACATGATTTTCGACGCTCTGAACCGTACTATTTGGTTGGGGGACATGACTTTGATATCTGAGGAGTGATTCATGTCATTAGCTCTAACCCGTCAACTCGCCTTGTAGGAAATGGAAAATAGTAGTTACGAGAAGATTTCCAGATCGGAGAACCCAGCACAACTTATGGCGCTTGCTTGGGCGGCGTCTCCACTCGCGACGCCCTCTCTCCTATTACGAGGGGTGTCAGGAGTCTGTCCAAATATAGGATGTCTTTGCCCACCCCCATCCCGGCCCCCGCGGCCACCTCCACCACCACCGCGGTCAACTCGCGCTGATCCTCGACCTTTCCTCTGTGGCTTTCCTGACATCTCTCTCTCTCTCTCTCACACACACACACACACACACACACACACACGCACACAGAGTAAATCGACACAATTGTAGAAAATAGGGGATTCAAGATCGGTAAATGTAAAAGAAGTGTAAGGGGTATCAAATAAGCCGTCAGAGATTCATGATAATCATTATATGATGTATCCAACCAAACGCACACACTTGTAGATGAGTGCTGAAGAGCAAGACATAGCATGATGCAGACGGCGAGGAGGCGGGAACAGCCGCCAAATATATATACAAGAGTGCGTACGGCAAATGAACAGACGGTTCGGGTTTGTGCAAACGGGAGTACCAAGGGGATATGCAGGCCATGTCGAAGGGGTTTCCAGGATTCAAGGCTTCAAGCCTTCATTGAATGGAGTTGCTTGTTTCCCAACGGCCCTCCCTCTAGGGCTGTCGCAATTTTCCCTAGTCCCCCGTATCCTGAATGCACGATTTTGCCATGCAGACTTCTCCTTTTGATGTTAGATTGTTCCATTTGGTTGTAGCCGAGAACGAGAACGAGAACGGGGGTAAGATCCCTTGTAGAGCTTGAATGAAGGAAAGAAAACGGAGGACATAAAAAGGGAATAAGCAGAAATTGAACATGTCCAAGAACAATCAGCAGCAGCAACAAGCATGGAGAGCTAAATGTAAAACGGTAGAAATAATTATTTCCCCTTCAGAAATTACCAAAGAAAGGGTATTTAACTACTGATTGACAAGCTTGAAAGCAGCCACGAAACGGTGAGTTATTTTTTAAATAATGGGTGTTTGTTCGTTCGTGGGGAAAGGGAAATGGAAATGTCATATTTAAATAAATATTTAAAACATTTCCAAGCTTCTGTCATCTATTTTCCTTCTTCGTGTGCTTGTACAGAGTACTGTAGTTAACTACCACCATTGATTGATGACTGCTGTTGTTGATCTTATGAGATGATCATCCATTATTTGAATAACTAAATATTGCCTGAAATAAGATCATTCAACTTGTGAATGCTTCCTATAAATAATAAATAATTGCATATTTAATCACAAGCACTTACTATTTATTTGCCGCTTGGCTCGATGTTAGTCTTATCACCCAGGAAGTTAACATATATATATATATATATATATATATTGGCCTCCTTTCTTTGACTTGCTTGCTTGCTTGCCAGCTCAGCTATTTTTTTTTTTTTTTGATGATGTGTTAACACAAAACCCAGTTAAGTGGTGATACAGGCTGTATAGGTATATAAAAAATAATATATCTTCCAGCTTCAATTCGAGCAACTGTTGTTGATAATAATGAATGAGAGGTGTGCGCCTTGCTGATATTTATTATTTATCAAAAGGAAAGCTAGCTGTTCATTCAGCAGCAAAAAATATGTACTGTACTGTACATCCATTAGTTATATGGAAGCACTCCATTGCTTTGCTAACTACTTTGTTTGTTACAATAGTATTAAATACATACATACAACTGACTAACGTAGCTGGACGGAAGAAGAAGAAAAAAAAAAAAAAAGAAAGGTAACTAAAGAACAAGTATCATTAGCAGCCCAGCTTCCCCTGGGATATACATATTACCTCCCCCACCACCACCACCACCACCACCACCTCAAGGAATTACTATTATCTTAAGAAAATATAGTAAATGAGAGAGAGAGAGAGAACAATATAAACTCAAGCAACAAGTAAACAAGAAACAAGAAAACAGCTCGCGACAAAAGACAAACACAACAACCATGCCATAAAAGCACCAGTTAAAGGAAAAGAAAAATCAAAAATCAAAAATCAAAAACCTCCCCTCCTCCCCTTCTCCCCCCTAATTACCTACGCTGTAATTCTTCTCATCCTTCAACTGCAAACGAAATCCTCATCCCACTACCAACATCACCACCATCGTCACCACCAGCAACACCTTCACCCCCTTCCCCATCCCAACGTCCATCTCCATCTCCATCTCCATCTCCATCTCCATCTCCATCTCCATCTCCATCTCCATCTCCATTCCCATTCCCATTCCCATTCCCATGCACCTGCACCTGCACCTGCATCTGCATCTGCATCTGCATCTGCATCCCCCTCCCCACCCTCCCCAACTCCTCCGCAACCCCCTCAATCTCGCCAATCTTCCCCACCACGGCCTCACACTCCCTCTGCATCCCCATCTCCTCCAGCTGAAACGGCGGGATGAATTTCAAACTCGCCTTCCACAGCCCGTCGAATAGCGTCGCCAGCTCTACCGTGCGCGTCTTGAGCGCCGTGGAGACTTGCGTTGCTGCTGCTGCTATTGTTGATGGTGATGGTGGTGTAGCGGTAGGACCTTCCCCATCACCATCATCGCCATGGTGGGTTCCTAGGAGGGATGATAATGGTGAGGTTGGATCCGCCTGCCCGGTTCCGTCCTGCTCCTGCTCCTGCTCGTGCTCGTGCTCGTGCTCCTGCTTCTCAACTCCCTGCACACCCACACCCACACCCACACCCACCTCCACCGCAGCCGCAGCCGCAGCCGCAGCCTCTGCCTCCCTCTCCTCCATCCGCCGCCTCATCTCCTCCATCTCCGCCTCCATCTCCACCATCCGATTGCGCATCTCCGCAATGGTCCGCAACTGCTCCCTGTCGCGAAGAGAGAGGGCATCGGCCCGCTCGCGCTCGGCCGGACAGGCCTTGGCGAGGTGGTAGATGTAAGTCCAGTCGGTGAGGTTGAGGCGGTCGAAGCGGATCTTGGAGCCGAATTCGCTGGTGGAGGTTGGTGCTGTAACTGTAGCTGTGGCCGGCGCTGAGGTTGGCGCTGGTGCTGGAGTTGTTGATGATGGGTGGGTATGTGCCTGTGCATGTGGGTGGGTGTGCGATGGCGTAGAGGCGGGTTTACGAGTACGGTTAACGGTGGTTATGGTGGTAGTAGTGGTGGGATATGCGGGTGTAGACGGCGTGGCAGGGCGCGATGACGTGCTAATGCGCGGGCGCTTGGCTGGGCGTGCCCCTGATCTGGTCCCTGTGGAAACAGGTGTGGGCCCCGCGCCTCTGCGTCCTGATGGGGTTGACGTAGGTTTCGGTTTTGGTTTCGGCTTGCTGGCTAGGGTGTGTGATGCGCTCTAGGAAGACAGGTGAGTATATATCATGTACTCATGTACATGTATATGTATATGTACATTATAGGGAAGTGGAGCGCCAGCGACTCACAGCGATATCAGGGCCTGCAGAGGTATTCTCAGTCTGATACATGATATCACCACCCTCACTATCAGTGTCGGAGTCATCCACTTCGCTTTCACCGTAGAACTTCTCACGTGTATGTCCGGGCTTGCGGCTCCGGGGCTGCATGTTGTTTGGAAGATGGGCGGGAGAGATATTTTGCTAGATCCCATTGTTAACTAAACATGTCATATTTCCCTCTAGTTGTAGCAGATACTTTTTTCATATCTTGATAGAGAAAGAAGTAATAATAATTACCAATGCATTTTTAGCCGCAAGGTTTCGTGCTTCCTATGGAGCAGTTAGTAAAAATGTATGTACAGATGTATTATTTAGATAAATTGAATGGCTCCGGGGGGGGGGGGGGGGATGAGGGAGACTGAAAAAATTATTTCAGATATTCTTTCCACTTACATAGAACTTGAACCTCACTTGAGTATGATAGTTCGGGTAGAATGTCTGCATAAATAGTACTTACTGAATTAGAAAAGAAACAAAACAGAAAAAAGAGAAAAAAAAAAAAAAAAAAAAAAAAAAAAAAAGGTAAAGATGAGGCAATAAGCGCGTCATTATTCAGCTACGCACATCCTGAAATTCATCCCAGTTCATCTTCGAGTTCTGCAGGCGCAGCATGTACAGATTGGCCAGCCGTTCGGGTGGCCAGTCATCCTTTTTCTGGTAATGAGGGGTCATTGTTGATGTTGTTGGTTGCGGTGTCTCCTTGGGTATCTCCTTCTGGGTATCATCATCATTATTATTATTATTATTATTATTATTATTTTCGTTGCTGCTGATATTCTCAGGGGCAGGAGCAGGAGAGCTAGACCAGGGACCCCGCTGCTGCGGCTCCTCGTCGGGGCGGGATGGTAGAGTTGGCATGATATATAATATATAATCGAGCGTGTAGATGTATATATAATTAATTATAACAAATGCAAATGAGATGAGAATTAGAAGAATAGAAGGGGATAGATGGTAGAGCTCAGATAGATGAGAAGAAAGAATGGATGGAGATAGATGAGAGCTGAAGCCAGTAGGTGCCGTCTGTTCAGGATTTTGTTTTCAATCAGAGACACAAGAGAATGAAATGATATTTGTAGTGTTGAACTGACTGTGTTGAATGAGAGCATCAGTTTCAGTTTCAGAGCCCACTCTTCTACCAAAGAAAGTGATGAAAGAGGAGGCCAGAAAGAGGGGGGGGTTTGAAATCAGATCTCACTAATTAGTTCTCAGACTCCTCTCTCAATGCAGATTATTATTTGCAGTGTCTGGTCAATACAGAGTAAGTAACTTAGTGATTTGGTGGTTGGTGATGAGGTTGATTGTTGATTGTTGATTGTTGATGGTTGATGGTTGATGGTTGCACTGAAGAAAAAGTTGAAGGCTGATTAATGATGATTGGTTGATGAGTTGATTGGTTGGTTGGTTGAACATAACTGGACTGGATAGAGACAGCATCACCAACATATTATTATTATTATTATTATTTGTACAGTGTAAGTAAGAAGATATAATATCAGGTTGAAGAATGTAGAATGTTCAACATGTGAGTTGAATAGTTATGTCAACCTGGCGATTTTCTTATTCTTTTTTTTTTTTTGCTCCTTTTTCTTAGCTTGAGTCAATATGAGAAATTAATTAATTAATTAATTGCCTTCTGAGAAGCTGATATCAAAGACTGAACTTTAGTATTGTGCAGAGAGATTATATGTATTTCAAATGTTCATTCATTATTGCACATTTATGTTATTGTTATTTGTTATTTTTTATTTTTATTTTTTTCATTTTCAGATTTCCCCTCTCATGCCAACACTTAATCAAGCATCAGAAGAGACAAGAAGAAAGATGCATTTCAATATTTTACTGCATAACTAAAGATCATTTACATCTTCATGCTTAGGTCTATGACAAAGGATTATGTCTCATTCATTTGTAGAGAAGATTTCAGTCAAGGTTAAACCTGTTATATTCTTATTATCATTTATTCAATATATTATTTATTAACTATTCAATATATTATTAGCTCATTGAACAATCCAACCTGCCAAGTTTATTGGTCCCCTTCCCCTCCCCCCTCCCCCTCTACCTCTACATAAATATTTCAAGTGCGGAAGAAGATTCATATCAAAGTCCAACATCCCGCAAATCTTCGCAGGTATTATAATTAACTATATCAGCTGCACACAATTCCAGACTCCATCCGAGCAACATCAGCATGGCACAGGATAGATATTATCTACTTAAATATCCCGTGGATGCACCCAGAGTCAGTGCGACGACACTAAAAATACAAAACACTCGCGATGTCCACACGGATTACTTTCCTCTCTGGCAAAGCGATGAGCAATGTCACACGGAGTCAACCTTGCCTTAGATCATAGCTAGCATTGCTTTTTCTCTTTTTTTGTCTTTTTCTACTCTTCAGATCTATTTCCCCGCATGCGCTGAGTTCCGACTTGAGTTCTAACTCGCGGGATGGGATGGCAACCCAGAATGCTCCAGTCCAGTCCAGTCGGGTGTTGCTCTTATTTATTCCTCTTGAATCATGCATTTTGCATTTTACAGTGCAGACTGCGGGAGGGGATACCTTCACACTATGCATTCCTGCCATTGCATACCTTACTACTATATACCACACCTATATACATCCCAGTTATTGCAGGACGCCGGTCGTTTCTTCCCAGAGCCTACAGCAGGCTATAGCTCTTAATATAAAGTCGGGAAGGAGCCTGTTAGAATGCTACTATTGTGTTTATACGCACCGAGAGACACATATCTCGTCTCAGGCAATCTCCTCTCTTCCTGGTTGAAATCCTCCAGATCATCCATCCAAGCTTGACAGGTAAATTCCTGAATTTCAGAATTCCTAGACTCCTAGGCATCATTGAAAAAGACTGTCTCGTATACAGGCTATGTGCGACAAATTCAAGGTTATCGTCTCCTTGTCTTCTTGAAGTACTTTTTCACTTATATACCTTGACAATTCCCCTTACCAGCTTCTTTCCAAAAGGACACCACCTCCACATATACATATGCACTTCCGCCCTGCAAGTGTCGACAATATATACGTATATCCATCCACCATGCTAAACCTCCTCCTAATCCCCCTTCTCTGCATGCCCCTTTCCCTCGTCCTCGCCCTCGCCCTCGCCCGCCCCAACACTCACCAACTCTCCCCGCGCACCAAAACCGGCAACCCCATCATAGAAGGCTGGTACGCCGACCCAGAACTACGCATCTACGAGGGCGCCTACTACCTCTACCCGACCTACTCCGCGGCCTTCGATAGCCAAACCTTCTTCGACGCCTTCGTCTCCCACGACCTGCTCACCTGGGAACCCACCGGCCGCCTCCTCGACTTTGCTGACGTGCCTTGGACCACCAACCGTGCCGCCTGGGCCCCCACAGTCGGCCACAAGGATGGCTCTTACTATCTCTACTACTCTGCCGGCGAAGGGGTCGGCATCGGGGTTGCCGTTTCTCACTCGCCGGCGGGGCCCTTTACGGATGTACTGGGCGGGCCGTTGATTGGGGAGTATGTATTTGGCGCCCAGCCTATTGACGCGATGGTGTTTATGGATTCGGATGGGAATGAGGGCGGGAAAGGTGAGGGGAGGAATTATTTGTACTGGGGCGGCTGGGGACATGCGGTTGTGGGGGAGCTGGCGGATGATATGGTGTCGTTTAAGGGGGATTTTGTAGAAGTGACGCCTGATAAGGAGTATGTGGAGGGTCCGTGGATGCTGAAGAGGAAGGGCGTTTATTACTTTCTTTATAGTGTCGGCGGGTGAGTATAATTTTTTTTTTTTTTTTTTTTTTTTTTCCCTCCCTTCTTTACTCTTTCGTTTCATGCTTAACCATATATATATATATATACGATTAAAACAGATGGGGAGACCCTTCCTATGCCGTTAAATACGTCAAAGCCGACAACCCAATGGGCCCATTCGACGGACCCTCCAAGTTGATACTCAGCAGCGATCCAGCCATTGGCACCAGCACGGGCCATAATAGCATCTTCCATGTCGACGACGAGTATTTTATTGTCTACCATCGCCGGTCTCCGACTGATACTGAGCGCGACCATCGAGTTGTGTGCATTGATAAATTGGAATTTAATGACGACGGGGAGATCGAGGTTGTCAAAATTACGAACGAGGGGGTCGACGGGATTAGGTTGGAACGTAACTAGTAGTTATGAGCCGGGTTTCACCTGAGTGGTTGAGTCGCAAAGTGTGGAAATATAGGTTTAGATATATGTATAGCAGACATGCGCATGGCAACGATTCTTTGGGAGGGAAGGAGAACATGACCATCTTAGAAAGGAAGTATATTATTAGGTATGTGGTCTTAGTTTAGGCAGAATTATCCCGTCCATTTATGTAACGCCGACATAATATCATCCATATATATCTATATATCCCATCCCATTCCATCCATAAACACCCAGTAATCCAGAAAACGCATGAAAAAATCGAAAACACTACACCACATCCATACCCATATCCCACATTTCATACAGCCGGAACAATCCCCACCCCAGCGCATCCCGCAAAACACCCCGTCGGTCTCCTCGGGTCATAATACCCACCGACCTCCACCTCCTCATCCGTCTCACTCTCCGCATCCGCATCCGCATCCGCATCCCCTCGCCTCGCAGCCAACGATTCACCTTTACCAATCGAAGCGGTGGTACCCCGACCTCTCCCCCCCTCCTGGGGCCCCTCCTTCTCGCCCTCCTCCTCCTCTTCTCCCAACGGATTCTTCTTCCCAACCCCCTTCCCCACCCCACCCCCAACAGCCGTAAACGAACTCTTAAACCCGCCCTTCTTAAACCCTCCTCCCGTGCCCGCACTGCCACCACCAATCCCACCACCACCACCACCACCCCCCGAGACCTCCACCCTCACAATCCCCGCCTCCTCATCCCTCTTCCGCTCCTCCCTCCGCGCCCTCTCCGCCGCCAGCGGGTCGCGCGACAGCTGCTTCAGATCGCGCAGCCGCTTACGGTGCTGGTGGTCATAGGAGCCGATGTGCGCTTCGTACTCCGGGTGGCGCGAGTAGGATTTGTTGCAGAGGGTGCAGGTGAAGGCGGTTAGGGCGTTGCGGGCGGATTCAGTTTTGGGGGCTGGGTTTGTGAAGGCGCGCTGCTGGGGGGAAGAGGGGTCAGTGGGTGTGTTTCCAAGGTTGTGTATATTATATTGATGGGGGTTGAAGGGGGAGGAGCGGGGGGGGACGGACTGGAGGCATTTTTGGGAGGTTTGAGGGAGGTGTTTTTTATTTCTTTTTTTTTTTCTTTCCCTGGCTGGATATTATTGTTTGCGGGAGGTCAGGATGGCATGATGTAGTGTTTGTTTTGGACCTTCAGCTAGGTATAGAACTGATATTATCGCGAGGTAGATGGATGCTGTGCAATGTTTATGTATCTAATATCAGCGTATTCTGCCGCTGAGAACAAAGGCGGTGAACATATTCGGGGGAAAGCCAAGCTTCTACCTTCAACTATTCTTCTTCTCTTCTTCTCTTCCTTTATTAGAGCCAAGCTGGTAGTTTATTCTACTCTTCAATTGTTAACTAACTATATTTCAAGTTATAACCCGATATACATTGCCTTATTTACGCCAAATAAAGCCGCTTGTAGATATTGGTCAATCTACTATTTATTACCACCGACATCTCTGGCCGTTCCATGTCATAACATTCCTATGGATGGACAACACCAACCACACGGCCAACGACGACGACGCCCGTCTGAAACTGAAGACTCGTTCGTAGATCCTCTGCAGGAACTCGACCCGTCACCTCTCGACTGGACCCCGGACCTGGAACAGGGCGGATACTCCCCCAACATCTCCTCCTCCCGCAAATCCTCAGAAACACGCAGCTATGAAAGCGAAAGCAAGCACAGAAGTAGCCCAGTTCGACATGTAGGGCTAAGTGGAAAGGGTTGGGAATACTGGCGTACGCTATATCCTCTCTATTTACCTCCTTACCTCCTTATCACCACTCGGGAAAAAAAAAAATGAAACGTTTCCAACAAAAATATAGTCTCAACCCTCCAGCGAACATCCACCTACCCGCCCACCCTCTTCCTAACCATGCACTTCACAAACACCTCCCTACTCCCCCTCCTCACCAACTCCATCTCAGCCTCCGAACCCTATCTCCTCCTCACCCGCCCCTTCTACCAATCCCCCGCCCTCGAACCCCTCCTTCTCACGCTCCCCATCGTCACCCACCTCGCCTCAGGAGTCGCCCTCCGCATCCTCCGCGCCCGCCGCCGCGCCCGCCTCTACGGCGCCGAAACCCGCGCCCAGCGCCACGAGCTCCGCGCCTCGGGTCACTGGAGACGGCCCAGCGCCCAGGCCTGGCTGGGCTACCTGCTGCTGCCGCTGCTCGGGTCGCACGTGCTGGTCAACCGCGTTGTGCCGGTGGTGGTGGACGGGGGCAGCTCTGGGGTTGGGCTGGGGTTTGTGGCGCATGGGATTGCGCGGGCGCCGTGGATTATGCGCGGCTGGTATGCGGCGCTGGTTGGGGTGGGTGTGTGGCATGTTGTCGGGGGGTGGGCGTGGTGGATGGGCTATAGGCAGGAAATGACGGAGACGGGGAAGGGGACGGGGAAGGGGAAGAGTAAAGGGGCCGGTGGGGGGTTTTTGGGGTCGTTGGAGTGGAGGAAGAGGTCGAGGAGGGTTAGACGGGCTGTTATTGGGGTTTCGGTGGCTGGGGTTGGGTTGTGGTTGGCTGGTGGATTGGGGATTTTGGGGCAGGGGGGAGTGGGAAGGGGGTGGGAGGCAAAGGGATGGGATAATATATATAGAGAGGTGCCGTTGTTAGGGTGGGTTATGGGGTTGAAATGATTTGGGGATGGGATATGATTTTGCATTTCATGTCTGTGTAGTTCGTATAGATAAATACACCATTTTTGGGAGGTAGCTAGCTACTAGAATAATAGACGTTTCTCAATGGAAGTATTTCCCTTGGAATATGAGAGGAAATTAACATACAATTGAGACCAAATTACCCAACTAAATCACTCTTGTAGATATTCGCCTTCCCCATCGTTTTCTTGCAACCTCAATATCCCCTCCCCCTGGCTCGGCATTCCCACTGATGCGATATCGGAGCAATCGTGTTTCGCCGAAAGTGACAGAACGAACATCCAACGCCGGCAATCACAAAAACGCAGAAAAACATCTCAGGAGTTTAAACAGACAGAGCAGCATGGAAAGGAGAAATAAAACATCTGAATTAACACCAATTGACGATGTGAATTACTCCCTTTTTCCAACATACACCCCACTGGCTGTCATCCACCCGGTTACAGCACAGCACAGCATATACTGCGTATACATATGGATGATTACCGAGCGGGATGCCGAATGAATCACGGCAGACAGAGCCAATGCCGAAGCTGCAGCCAGCTAACAAAAAATTCCCTGCGCCGGTGCGAATCCAGTCCATAGCCGCCTGCCCCGCAATCAAAATCTAACCCCGCCGAATATCTGCGTAAAAAAACATGGAATAAAAGGAACGGCGAAGTCCGCTTCTGGCCGAGAGATTCCATCTCAAAATTTTCTTTTCCTCTTCCGTCTCAGCCCCCTATTCCCCTCTTTTGTCATGAATTCCTCTATACACACACACACACACACACACACACACACACACATATATATATATATATAGATGCCCGACACACCAGAGATGACCACCCACAAAATCCTCGTCCTGCCCGGCGACGGCATCGGCCCCGAAATCACCGCCGAAGCCCTCAAAGTCCTTTCCGCCTTCTCCTCCCAGACACGCACCTTCACCCTCCGCACCGAGCTAATAGGCGGCTGCAGCATCGACGCCCACGGTACCCCCGTAACGGACGCTGTCATCCAAGCCGCCCTAGACTCCGATGCGGTCCTGTTCGCGTCTGTCGGCGGGCCAAAATGGGACAGAGTCCGTCGCGGCCTGGAGGGGCCGGAGGGGGGCCTGCTGCAGCTGCGCAAGGCGATGAATGTATATGGGAACCTGCGGCCGTGTATATCGCCATGCAGGGCGGTGACGAGGGAGTTTAGTCCGTTCAAGGAGGAGGTGGTCGAAGGGGTGGAGTTTTTGGTGCTCAGGGAGAATTGTGGCGGGGCGTATTTTGGGAAGAAGGTGGAGGAGAGGGATTATGGTAATTAAATATATTATATATATTTTTTTCTTTCCCCTGTTATATTAGTTATATAGTTATTTATATACTAATCTACCCAGCAATGGACGAATGGGGCTACAGCGCCCCCGAAGTCTCCCGCATCGCCCGCCTGGCCGCCTACCTGGCCATGCACCACAAAAGCCCAACCTTCTCCAACAACCCCCTCCCCCATAATCTCCCTCGACAAAGCCAACGTGCTCGCCTCCTCGCGCCTCTGGCGCCGCGTCGTCACCGAAACCATCGCCACCGAATTCCCCCAGCTCAAACTCACCCACCAGCTCGCCGACAGCGCCTCGCTGCTCATGGCTACCAAGCCGCGCGTGCTGAACGGCGTGCTGCTGGCGGATAATACCTTTGGCGACATGTTGTCGGACCAGGCTGGGTCGATTGTGGGCAGCTTGGGCGTGCTGCCTAGTGCGAGCTTGAGTGGCGTGCCCGGGGAAGATGGGAAGGAGGGTCTGAAGGGGTTGTATGAGCCGACGCATGGCTCGGCGCCGGAGTATGTATTCCCCCCCCCCCCCCCCGGGGCCCCCCTCTTGACATTGGCTTATATAAAAAGCAGGAAGTAGATAGGGCAAGAAGAAAGAATGAAAGAAGAAAGGAGGATAAGTGGATGGACGCTGATCCCCTCTGTTCTCAAATATAGCATCGCCGGCCAAAGCAAAGCGAACCCCGTCGCCATGATCCTGTGCGTGGCGATGATGTTCCGCTATTCGTTCCACATGGAGGCCGAGGCTCAGTTGATTGAGCAGGCTGTGTCCGCTGTGCTGGAGTCGGGGGTTCGCACTCCGGATTTGGGTGGGAAGGCAAAAACGGCGGAGGTTGGGGATGCGATCGTCGAATGTATCAAGAAGAATGGCGGTTCGTAGGGGGTGGAATTTTGTGGCCTGCATGTATTTCCTGGGATTGAGGGATAAGAGGAAATGGGTATTTATTTTTACGTCTTGGTTAAAATGCTTTGTTATTCTTAAGGTATAGAGGGAGTATGATGCATGTATAGATTCAATTCATATATGAAGGAGTTGCATATGCATGCAAATGCATTGCTTATCTGATACCAGAAGCATACTGCCGCTTTTTCCTCTAGAAATCCAGGGGATTGGGCGTGTATTAAATGATACACAAAGCCAAATACAATGACGTAAAATTTTTCACTTCCCACCCCTCGACGCCCTATTCATTGGCCCCCAATTCGCCCTCGGATTCATCTGATACCGCGTCAGTCTCTTGCTCCGATGCGCCGCGAGCACGGTCCTACCCAGAGCCTCATCAAACACGATTTTCAATGTGCTTGGATCCGGGCTTCTGGGGGATGGAGAACGTGACCGTCTGGGGCTTCTTCTTCGGGGTGAAGCACGTCGTTGATGTTGTTGATTCTCCGGAGTGGCTTTTTCACTCTTGGGAGGAGGAGTACTACCACACTCGGCTCCATTTTTGCGCTTGTCATCGGCCCTTTTGGGTCCGGTACCAGCACGATACAAGGCAGATTCAATCCTCATGATCAGATCGGAGACCTCCCTCGACCCTTCTACCGCCGCTAGCACATCCCGCTTCAGCCCTCTCAGCTTCGCTCCCGCATCGTCATCCACACGGCTCTCGCCATCACCGTCAACATCCCTCTTCCGCCTCATAATTCCCATCCCCGCCGTCCCCTCCCGAATACTGCCCTCCTTAACGGGGCACTTCTGCCTCACCCACTCACGTATAATTTCCCAAATGACGTTCCACGGCGCGTCCGTTCGCACGGAGCCGGCCTTCGTATGGCTGCGACTGGATTTGTAGCCCAGGTGGCGCAGGGCGCCGCGCAGACAGTCTTCGGAGATTGTTTGGGTGTGCACGACTTTGCAGACGTAACTGGGCATGAAGAAAAAGGGATGAGGGTCGAGTTTGGCCGGGTCAGTGCGGGGGATTATGAGAGACGGTGCGTCTTTTTCTTTCCCGTTCGTGGTAGTCTCTGGAATAACAACAGCAGAGTTATCAGAGTCAGGAGCGGGGGTAGTTTCGCATGAGGATCCTTCCATATCCAAATCCTCCTCTAACGCGGTTGAAAGCATCCCCTCGATTCTCCCCACGGTGGGGTATGTCTCCTTATCTGCGCCGGGAAGTAGATCCAAAATCCGCTGGATAAAGATGTTGTTGTGCAACGGGCCCGCCCACATGGGGCCAGCAAGGTGAGTCTTAAATCCGCAGTGCTCGCATGTAGGTGCCGTAGCTGGTCCCTGCGCGAAGCCATGGTGATAGTAGGGGTTTCCCTTCCTATCAGTCCTACATCTATTCACAGCGAGAGGCTGCGTCTTCCATGCCCCGCAGCCGTTATCGCAGTTATATACAACCATAGACTTCCCAGCTGTGAATTTCACCTCTGCCGGTGAGCGGTGGACACGGACGAAGACCCTTGCATAGAAATCGATAGAGAGGGAGAGGAGGGGTTCGATGGCTAGGCCATACTTGGCGCCTGAGCTTGCGATTGCGTGTAGGATGAGTCGGAGGCCGGCTTCGTGTGACTGCGGGCCTTTGAAGGGTATGCCGCCATATAGTGCGTAAGTTTTCTCGGGATAGCCGTTGGAGGCAAACACGCTTGCATCTGTGCATGTTACGCACAGCAGACCGCCATCGGTGATGGCCTGGATGGCAGCGTCCAGGAACGGCGCCGCGGTGCCGTAGGGATCAAGATCAACGACGTCAAATTTTCCAAAATTATTGCTGTCCTTGATCCTGGGTCCACGGAGGATGCTATACATGTACGCACAGGCATCACCGGTGTTGGGTACGACAACGTCCCCGACGCCATTGTGCTTAATGTTCAACTTCATGGACTCGATCGCGTCGGGGGAGAGGTCGTTGGCGACGATGCGGGTTGTGAAGGGGATTTCCTTCGCGTAGCGGAGGGCGCGGAGACCGGTTGCAGAGAGAGCATCGAGGATGGAAAAGGAGGGGACCCTAGTTTGCTCTGTTGTAGATGTGGTTGCAGTTGTAGTTGTATCTTGTTGATCCGCCTGAACGCCGTTCTCAAGAGCACTCCCCTTCTCCCCGTCCTCCCCTTCCGCTTTACTCCCCCCTTCCACGCCCCTTCCCCCAACATCCGTAACCCCTCTCTTCCTCTTCCTCCCTTTCGACCCCTTCTTATTTAGCGCCGCCTTCTCCATCTTCTCCTTTTTCACCAGAATCGCATGCTCCCCATACGCGCGGATCGCCAAAACGCTCAAGTCGCGATTGAACTGCTGAATCGGGTTGTAGAAGACAGACTGGGCCTCTTGCTGCCGCTGTTGCTGCTGCTGTTTCCCCTGCTGTTTCTTCCCTTCTCGTTGCGACTCCGCATCCACCTCAACGGCCGTCACCTTCTCCTCCTCCCCTGATCCCACTACTCCATGCGCCGCCGTCCCATCCCGCACTTGCCTTTCCCCTTGCGATCGCGGTATAAGTATATACGCCAAACCCTCTTTCACCACCACATACTCCTTCCCCTCGTGCTGTAAAATCTGCCCCGCACTCAGTTCCACACCCGATTCCACGGCCGGCGCGGGAGAGCTGGAGTTCTGCACAGTCGTCTGGGTCATGGCGGCGGCGGCAATCGTCGAACTATCACTCGTGCTCGTGAATGTACGTTTACACCGAAACATGGGGAATCGCAACTCAAAGTTGGAACGGAGCTTCTCCTCTCCGTGGAGGGACGGAAACGCGGTAGAGAAGCACTTGATGTTATTAGTGTGGGGTGTGTTGCGGAGGAGCGGCGGGAGTCTACGACCGAGAGTTGTAGATGTTGGGAGGGCTGAATTTGTTGCCCAACATAGCAAAAATTCGGAATTTATGCGGATACGTGTGCGTGCGTTTCTTGGGAAGAGGCACTGGTGCATTGACGTTCCATAGAAGGCGCCTGAAGCGTATGGCTGTGGGTGTTTCTTGTGTCAGTATGAGGCTTTGTGGTGCGGAAGTTTTTTTTTACTGTCAGATATAGCACGTGACTAGTTTTCGGAGCCCTGGAGGTTTTTGGGGGAGAAAAGAGTCAGTCAGAATTCAGAAAAGGGAAAGAAATTCGGAATTGAGAAAATATTCTTGAGTGTACTTTTACGTGCGATGACAGAGGTTTTCCTTCCAGAGAGAAGAAATACAATACGGTATGACAGAAAGATAGCACCAGAACCTGGTGAGATGATAACTAGACGCACTTCAATGATATGTGATGAAAATTAAGAACATAGGATTGAATATCATTTTGAGCTGCTCATCATGTAAAAGAAATTAACCAATTTTCAAAGCAGAAAAAGAAAAACGAAACAAAAAAAAATTAAAAAAGGGAAACATGACATTATCTCCAACATTCATTACCATTCCCACTATACATGCATATTAAAAAGAAATAAGAAAACAGATATCACCCGAAGTAAAGAAGCCTGCCGAATCAAGAGTACTTCCCCCCCCCTTCTACTCTGTTCTACTATCATAACGTCTAGGTCTACAACCTCATTATCTGTAATACATCTTAGAGCAAGACAAACTCCTCAAAACTTCGACATCGCAATCGCAATAGCCTGCGTATCACTATGGCTAATGCTAACACTAACCTCCTTAACACCCGCCTGCTTCGCTGCAGCAGCAGCATCGCCGTGTAACTAAAATGGCACGAGTCAGTAAACGAGTTTTTTAAGCACATAAGCAAAGAGGTTGTTTATAATAAAAGAATAGAATGGGAACTTACAACAACAACCGGCGCCCCACCCTTCCCGCTTAAAATCTCAATGTCCCTCAACGCCGCTCCAGCCCCCTTCCCCACGACCCCAAGACTCTTAAAAACAGCCTCCTTGGCACTCCAGCGGCCAGCAAACGACGCCTGCGGCGACGGCGTGGCGCGACAATACCGCTGCTCCTCCTCGGTGAAATTGCGCTCGACGAACGTTTCGTTATCGATATTGATGGCCTCGATGCTTTCGACGTCGACACCGACTTTGGAGTTTTCGGTCGCGGTCGCTTTGGCGAGGGTCTCGACCATTTGACGCGTTTGGAGGGTTTGTGCCCTGTCTTCGGATGGTGAGGGTGGTGTGGATGTGTTTTGCTTGCTGTTGGTGGCGGTGGGTTTGACGTTGGGGCCATTATTGCCGCGGGGAGTGGAGACATAGCCCAGGGTATTGGTCTTTTCATTAAGAGCAACCCGGACGTCTGGATTAAGGAATACCTCCGACTCCATCTCATCGGTATACGGCGATTTGTCCTTGGCCACGAACAGACTGTTATTAATAAAGCCGTTATGGAAATACCGGTACGCCTTCTTCTGCCTCGCCTCCACTTTCCTCTTATACCCGTCAAATGTCGCTCTATCAAGCGTTGCGAACAGGTACTTGGGGTGAATGCCGATGGCCTGCGTTCCCTTCTGCCCGAACCCGAACGACGTCACTGAGAATGCCTTGATGCCATCCGTCTGTAGACTCCGGCTTGGATAGACGATATAATCGAACTTCTCCATGACCTTATCGATATTATCCGCATTACGGTTGCCGGGCACAAGACCCGAATTCAACACCTGCAAGGCACCGTTGAACATGAAGCCACCTGCGGCACCCTTGGGATGGCCCGTGAGGTACTTCTGGAAGATGCCCATCATCGCATTGCCCTTCTGGCGACCCAGGTGCCTCATCTGCTGGCAGACAACGTCGCACTCGTTCTTGTCGTTGGCGACGGTGGAGGTGCCGTGGAAGGACGCAACGTCGAGATCATCAATGGTCAAGCCCCAGGTAGCCAGGGCGCCGCGAAGTGGCGCGATGCGCGAGTCTTGTTTCCAGAAGTTGTTACCGAGGCTGAATGCAGCGTCTTTCTCCTGACGGACTGCTTCACGCTTGATGTGCTCGATACGCTCTTGCATGTACTCGTCAGCATT